GTGAGACATTCTGGAATCTTGCTCTGCTTATCTTACCCATGAGAAGGATAAGACTTGACCTGATCAGAGTGTCTGCATTGGGGAAAAAAACATGGAAAAATTGTTAACAATTTGGCAGGCAAAGATACAAAAAGGTCCAGTGGTTGCTATTTGAAGTTCAAAATTCCACTGCAGATTTTCAACAGTGAGAGTGATTAGCCCTTATGATGTCTTAAGAAAGGTTGTGGTGGTTTCCTTACCTCTGACAATTTAAAAATCAAGATTGAATGGTTTCTTAAATTATATGTTTTAGTAAAGCACAAGTTCTGCGGCTTCTTTGTACGGGGCATTGGACTAATTGCTAATAAAAATTCCCTTTGACTTGGAACCTCTTAAAGACAATGACTAAAGTCAAGCTAGTAGTTTTTGTCCTTTTTTTTAAATTTAATTTTTCTGTGCAAAATTTAGTTTTTGCTTTTACACAGTTCTAATGAAAGATAGGTATTTTTCTTAGCCAACTTCTGTTCATAGCCCATCAGATGGTTTTTACCTATCATGACCTTGCAGTCTTACAATGTTAGTACATTAGTATATTATGTAAAAGTGTTGTATCTGTAAGACTGTATCCTTTGTTCAATTTTTTGGTACCTGAAGACATATGCCAAGCATGAGAATATTTTATTTGGTTTTATTGAGATATGTATGGCATATCTTTAACACATTAATTGAAGTCTGTGTTATGAAATCTACTCTTCCTGCAATAAATGCATCTTGTAGTGGTCTTTTAGTTACTTCCCTCTTATTAATCCTGTCTACACACCTCATATCTGAACTAAAATCCAGTTACCAGCATTTATGTGGCTACAATCTTAGTTAGGGTCAGAGTGCCATTAAGCTGGCCATTGTACCATTAAGCTCAGTTTCTGACTTCAGAGAGTTCAGAAGAACTGAGACTGCTGAATAGTGACACAATGACCAAGCAGTGAGTGATCTGAGGAACATAATGGATATGTTAACTTAGTCCTCTACAGAAACAGTGTTTAGATAATGACTGTTTCTCCTGCTTGTGTTTTTCTGTTAGGCCCTCCTCTTTCTTCAGTTGGTTTTGGATTAATTTGTCCATTTCAACCTGTTTTTTTCAGAAGTGTGAAAATACTGGGTTCTTGTGGTGACCTGAAGCATCAGGTTCAAAAGAGGTTTCTGACACCTAACAAGTGGGTGTACAAGAAAGACACAAATTAGTAGCAGTTGTTGTGGTATGGGCTGTAAGACAGTAAGATCATAGGAAGTCAAATGCTCTTAGTACTTTGCTTACAGAATTACTTGTATTCTTGTGGGGAACAGGCTGGACTAATTTTGAACTGTTGAATCTCTTGTGATTTCCAATAGTCATAACAATGCACTTAAGCCATATTGCTGAAGTGGTTTTAAATACATTTGATCCAGACAAGAGTTAAACTAATTAGCTGACATTTGATTTTGCTTGATATGGATCCAAACCATGAAGCTTTGAACACCCCTAGAGTTCAGATGTGTTTCATTCAGTGTTTGGGTACTAGTCTGTGTTCTCAAGTAACCTTTACAAACATTGCAAATTTTATCTCAGATTTTAAATTAAAAAAGCAACATACCAAATCAAGTATGTAAATGTTTTTTTCTTTAGATACAGAAATGCTCTACAGCATAGTTGTAGAAGCAGCAAGCAGAAGAATAGAAAACTTGCTATCTGTATAAAGGTGTTTGTCAGGTGTTCACAACCACCTAATTACTTATGTGACTGTACAAAACATTGCTTCTGCTGTAGTCTGAACAGCCATCCAGGGCAATCATGTGCTTCGAGACCCAGAGGATGGTGCTAACTTGGAGCATGTGTGCATTTTCAGTTTCACGATGTGACGACAGCAGCACTCTGACACTGGTTAACATTTGTGGGCCTTGTGGAAGGAGTGAGCTTCCATGAGGGATTTGGCTGGAGGAAACCTGCCTGGCTGGCACACAGAACTGAGGAGGGTGTTCCAGGCAGGATTGAAATAGAGATGAGTAGCGTGACGTTTTGCATTGCATATGATGCAGCTGGTTAACTTGGAATGTGATTAACTCTGTTTTGTAAGTTTGTAATTTTTTTTTTTTCATGCAGTCTAATAGAAAAAGAAAAAGAACAGGTTATAAAGAAATACAGAATTAAGTGTATGTATCTTTTCAACACAGAGGCATTCACTTCCCCCTGGAAAGCACAATTATATGAGAATTGAAAAAGAATATATTGGATTTGCTTTGTTAAGAAACCAAGATGGAAAGGGAAGACTTTGGGGCAGGGGGAATTTTGTAGGATTTAATTATAGCCTGTGTACATGGAGACAAGAGAAAAAGTTAAGTTGGTATCTTCAAGATGGCATGCCTGTGTGACACCAACACCAGTGCTATGGTATTTGATTTATTAAAGTATGTGTAGTGTTCAAGTAATTTTGTGGTAGAACATATAATGATTTTCTCTGCTTTGGGACAAGTTGAACTGACAGAAAGTTTACAGAAGTCAGTATGCTTCCAGTGAAGCTCTGAAAAGTATTACAGCACAGAAATCATATTGTCTCCCCTTAGATTGTATAAAACTTCTGCAATTTTCTTTTTTGTTTGTTTGTTTTGCTTAACATGGTAATAAAGAAGAGAAAAATATTCAGGTTTTTTTTTAGGCTTTTATTTTAACTTAACGACTAGGCGAGCAACAGGGAAAGTCATGATCATTAACAATGTGACCATCTTGAACTCTGTTATCCAAATCCAATGTGCAAGTTTGATTATTGTTCATAACAATATGTGTATCACATCTGTAATACCCCATATCTGAGGATTTCAGACCAGTTTACAATTTTTGATGAGCTGATTCTCACAGTTCACTCCTCTAAGAGCAAAAGAAGTACAGGCATAGAAATTACCTATCATTTGTTAAGGCCACTCAGGAGATAAAGAAGGAGAGTCTGGAAGTCATGGTTTGGGTAACCTACATGCAAGTAAAAATTTTGGCATAAATATATGCAACTTGCAAAATTACTGTATTACTGGATTTTTATATACATCTTGTGTTGACCTTAAGCTGTGAAAGATGTTCTATCCAACTCCTAAACAAAGGATAGCACAAGATAATGGAGGATCATTTTATGCTGTTAGCTCCTTTTTATTTGAGATTATGTTAGGACAGAGCTATGGCTGAAGACCACAGAAGTCACCACAATTGAATTTGGCTGCAGAACGAAGGGTCATGAACAAAGACATTTTACTAGAAATAGAAAAATAGAGGTACTTGAGAAGCGTAACACATGAGCAGTTGTAGATAAAGAAACGTTGAGCAGTAGAGTCACAGACATATTTTGTAGCCAACAAATCTGAATTTTAATGGGAGTCAATGGGGAAAGGTACACATGAGACCTACATGGACTCTACAGATGTATCTAGTCCAGAGCCTAGCCCTTGCTCACCAAACCACACTATGAAGAGTATCAGTCTTTAGCTATATCCATGCTGTTTAGCAATTGGCCTGGCCCTAAGCCATAATTGTGTACACGCTGTATATGATCCTGACTTCAGCTGATTCAAACTCCAAAACCCACTTTGAGTACTGCATAAATTCAGGTATTTCACATCATAACTTTAGCTTTGTTCCTTTGAATAATTTTGTTACAGTACAGGCTTCTCTGAGGAACCTTGAAAGAGCTGGAGGTACAGATTTACTGAGAGTGAGATGCAAGGAGGCTAAAAGAGGATTCAAAAGTCTACAGGATTGCCCGCCATGTGCTAAGAAACAATTGCTTTGGAGTACATGGTTACATATTATTTGATGTGGTTACAGATAGACAATCCCTGCTGACAGTGAGATGAGAGACCTAGCTCAACCAGGCCTAGCTCATGATCTTTTTGCTTCTCTTTTTGTGTCTTTGAAGATGTGGATTGTGAATGAGAATAAGTGTAAAGTGAACTGTAGGAAAAGTTGTATCTGAGGTCTTTTGGGCAACAGGAGATGGGAAGGAACTGTTTTAGGATGATAAAGCAGTTGGTCTGGTAGGTTATGTCATTACAAAATGGTTAACAGAGAGCTAAAGATTCATATGTATGCTATAGAGGGTAAGGATGCTATTCCCATGAATAGGAGAATCTCAGCAGTTGAGCATGGTATTAGAGGATCCCAACACTCAAAGGGTCTCACTGGCTGAGCTGTGGATTGCTTGGCTTCTTGTCCTGCCTGCCACCCACTAGGATTGTTTTATGAAGCATTGGGGGTGAATGATGTTGTGCTGAACTTGGAGAGGCATGTGTGGGAGACAGGAGCAGAGAAGGAGGGGGAATGTGGTGTGCAGATGTGTTAAGGTGAGAGTAGAGCTTATCAGCTACCAGTTCCAGAGGGTGGTGGGCTTCTCCTATTTTTTTTTCCTTGCTTTGCTGGTGGAGTCATCCATTGAACAATCTCAGTTGTCCAGATGTACAAGATAAAAGTAGCAGAGTAAAATATTAGGGTGTGATTCATTTAAAATATTTTAAAATCTAACAATTACACTTGTTGTAATTGTTGCCCTTTTGGCCAGCTTCTCTCAGGGTGGCCCCTATTAAAAAGCTCTTGAGACCCTGAAGATAATTTTCTGCTGTTGCATAGTATTTTGTTTCCAGCAAACTAGGTTTGAACTGGAAAATTTCTGTGAAGTCCTGTAGCCAATTTAATATTTAAAACAGACCTGTTAAATTATGCATGTTTCAGGAATGTCTTGAGCCATCCTTCCTCTGCTGTGCTGACTCAGTGCCTGAGGAGGAGTTGACAGCCCATGGAGACAGGGGAGTGTTCTGTGACTGCAGAAAGACAGGATAATAAAAGCTCATAAGGGCAAAGAGTGATGCAGCCAAGGTTTGTGTTGCAGTTATCAGCCAAATAATTTAAAATAAAAAAGGGGGGGAAAAAACCCCCAAACCAAGAAACAAAACCAGAGAACAGAATTAAAGCCCAGCCACCGGTGACCTAAAATGGTGATCTGCACGAAATGCCCTCCTTGGGTAATGTGTGTTCATTTGGTTTTCAGCCTATTTGGGGTAGTTTTACAGAGAGTTCTTTGCTCTTAACATTACTCTCTTTACAAGTCAGAAACTGCATTAGTGTTCTTGCTGAATTTCCATGAACATATAATTCCAGGTGCATATGGGTGCTGATGTTCTTGTGTTTTGTTGGTGTTATGTGCTTATGTCCCCAGCTGCAAACTAAGTGTCCAGCGCCTGGGCTTTAGTTTCATTAGTAAACTTTATATAGCTTGGTCTCTGCTTGCCTTTACCTTTATTTTAATTGTGTATAAAAGCATTAAATTGCCCTACATACAATTAAAAACACAGAGATTGTGATTCTTTTTATTCACTTTCTAGTTCAGATGTATGAGTGAGTGCACTTTCAGAACCTTCTTTCAAAAGTAGTTGTAATCATGTGGTAGATAAGTAATACTTTATAGGGAAGAGGACCTCCAGACAAAATGATTCCCAAATGATCCTAAATTGTAACTTATCTTCTTATTTTTCAGCTAGCTATGGACCAAATCCAATTTGCAAAGGCTGTTTATCTTGTTCAAAGGATAATGGCTGCATCAGATGCCAGCACAAATTATTCTTCTTCCTACGAAGAGAAGGAATGAGACAATATGGTGAATGCTTGCATTCCT